TTTATAAATGTATGAATCATATGGTGAAAAACTGACTTTGAAAAATAAATCTGTTCTTTTTTTCTTATAAAAGGCCAAATAAAACAAAAATATTGGTGGTAATTTTTGACTGTGTAACTTTACCAACGGTAGCCCATATATTTGGCAAACTAATAATTTTTATAACAACATTGATCTAATGAAATGACAGTTTCGTACACTGAACAAAAATATAATGCAACAATGTGACTTTTGCTCCTATTTTAATGAACTTATGATCTAAGATTTTTTTCCATGTACACAATAGACCTGTAAAAACCAGACCCTGTCCTTCGCTTTGCTTCATACGAGGGTCTGGACTCTCAGCTATAGAGAAGTGATTCTTGCTAGAAGCGTGGCCTCTGCTGAAGTTTAAAATGATTGGATCAGTTGGCCGTGGCATATGTGTGCCAGCTCTACTGTAAAGGAGGCTAAGCTAAGAAGCTAACAGAAATCATGTGCTGTAAACAACCCTACTGAGAGGAGAGAAGTACCGAGCTGAACGAGACGACTGTAAATGAGAGCTGCTGCTTTGTCAGACAAATTTATTTTAATTTGGAAGCCTTATAAACACAAACTGGTTTCATTCACTTCCTCCACTGCTGTATGCTAAAATAACTAGCAGACACTGTGTAGAACATCGACGTTCTGTTCTCTGATTGGCCCGGACGAAATGCTCCTGAATAAATCCTTGTCAATGGGAGAAATCCCAGACAGAGCAGAGAAGGAAACTAGACTAGAGTGGAAATGTGTAATAATGCAAGGGCCAGGCTAACAATAGACACTTTTCTCTCAAATATTGTTCACAAATTGGTGTAAATCTGTGTTGATGAGCACGTCTTTGCCAAGATAATCCACCTCATAGAGTTTCATTCAGCCTAAAAAGTCTGACCCGACTCGGTCCGAGCCCATCAGTGTTATGTCTGAGCCCAAATCGACAAATTAACTCAAAAAAGAGGCCTGAACCTGAAGCAAACCTGACATGTTATATGTAAAACAATCTATAAAGCTTGTTATATACTGAGACAAATTAAACTTCAATTAATGCAGAATTTAAGTTTTGTTTTTAGTTTGAGATCTTCATATTAATAATGTAGTGTTATACAACAGCATTAATGGCCAATTTAACTAATGTATGTTGTTATTCTACATTATTACATTTAAAATCTAATTCCAGTTCAAACAGAATAGCATATTGTCAACATAATTATGGAGTGTGATTTATTTTCAACTCNTATTATACATGAGATCATATTATACATGAGATCATATTATACATGAGACCGTATTATTCATGAGGTCGTATTATACATGAGATCGTATTATACATGAGATCATATTATACATGAGGTCGTATTATACATGAGATCATATTATACATGAGGTCGTATTGTACATGAGGTCGTAGTATACATGAGATCGTATTATACATGAGATCGTAGTATACATGAGATCGTATTATACATGAGATCGTATTATACATGAGGTCGTAGTATACATGAGATCATATTATACATGAGACCGTATTATTCATGAGGTTGTATTATACATGAGATCGTATTATACATGAGATCGTATTATACATGAGGTCGTATTATACATGAGGTCTTATTATACACAAATAAATACGGTAATTTTTTCCTCAGATTGGTTTGTGAAGTCTTCTGAGATATTTTGTCAGCTTGAAGACGACAGCTGAATTAGATTTGTCTGTAGACTAGTTTCCTGTTCATGTGATWTGACCAGACAAAACAAAACATTTTTACTTCTCCTGGTCAGCTGCTAAAACTGAAAATGTTTCTCACCTGACTTAGTGTCACCAGTGCAGATGTTGCCTGCTTCAAGAGGAATAAAAAAAAACAGTTACAATCTTCTCATTGTATGATTAAAATGACTATTCATATCAATCTTCAGGTTCAACRAGTGTGATCGATATGGCACTAAAAAAAGAAAAAAATAGTTTACGAATGTAATGATTCTTTTCTTTCTTTGTTTTTTATAAATAATCACAACAGATTAAACAGACTGTAGCTTGAGTTCCTAATGAAAAGCTCTTAAAGAACAGTTCATTTAGCAGACATGCTTTTATGGTTAAGACGTTTTGTTGGAAGAGGGGTCTTTCATGCTACAGATTTGTTCTCTTTTCCACATTCCATGCCGTGTTTCTCTGCAGATGTCAACATCTGGTTGGTTACATTTGGCTTTCATCTCCACAATGCCATCCCAGGATTCCCTATTCCCCAGTTTGACCTGACAGAACCATCACTGGAGATGACAAAGAGCCAGCTGTGGGATGACCTGCCTGTAAGTTGTCCATGTGCAGACKTGACTTCTCTGTTGCTGTTTGATTTCAACCTTTAAAAGGTCACYGTGGATGAGAGCGGCCTATGACTGCACTGATACCACCTTTATTTTTACTGAGACCAAGTGATGTAAAACTGTTTTTGATTCTACAGAGAGAAAGAACTGTCGAAGCTGAAATCTGCTAATGTATTCGTACGGGGTGCCGTTTGTAAAGTTACACAGTCAGAAATTACCACCAATATTTTTGTTTTATTTAGCCTTTTATAAGATAAAAAGAACAGATTTAATTTTCAAAGCCAGTTTTTCACCATATGATTCACACATTTATAAATGTCATAGTTTATAAACTAAATATTTAACTTACAAATTAAATATTTAGTTAACAAGCTNCATGAGATCATATTATACATGAGATCGTATTATACATGAGATCTTATTTTACATGAGATCGTATTATACATGAGATCATATTATACATGAGATCATATTGTACATGAGATCATATTATACATGAGGTCGTATTATACATGAGGTCGTATTGTACATGAGGTCGTATTATACATGAGGTCGTATTGTACATGAGGTCGTATTAAACATGAGATCGTATTATACATGAGATCGTATTGTACATGAGATCGTATTGTACATGAGATCGTATTATACATGAGGTCGTAGTATACATGAGATCATATTATACATGAGATCATATTATACATGAGATCATATTATACATGAGACCGTATTATTCATGAGGTCGTATTATACATGAGATCGTATTATACATGAGATCATATTATACATGAGGTCGTATTGTACATGAGGTCGTAGTATACATGAGATCGTATTATACATGAGATCGTAGTATACATGAGATCGTATTATACATGAGGTCGTATTATACATGAGATGGTATTATACATGAGATGGTATTATACATGAGGTCGTATTATTACATGACATGGTATTATACATGAGGTCGTATTATACATGAGATCGTATTATACATGAGATGGTATTATACATGAGATGGTATTATACATGAGGTCGTATTATTACATGACATGGTATTATACATGAGGTCGTATTATACATGAGATCGTATTATACATGAGGTCGTAGTATACATGAGATGGTATTATACATGAGGTCGTATTATACATGAGGTCGTATTATTACATGACATGGTATTATACATGAGATCGTATTATACATGAGGTCGTATTATACATGAGGTCGTATTATACATGAGGTCGTATTATACATGAGATCGTATTATACATGAGGTCGTAATATACATGAGGTCGTATTATACATGAGGTCGTGTTATACATGAGGTCGTGTTATACATGAGGTCGTGTTATACATGAC